CCTCCACCTGAAAGCCTAGAATAAAAGCTTTCACAAAATCAGCTGCTTTTGTCAGAGCACTAACATCTTTGGTTTCTTTACAAGTCTGTTAAAAAACAAAAAAGGGTACAAAATACCGTTGAGACTCAAACAGAAAATGTCTTAACGAAATACTAGAAATGTCCTTTCCCATTATCAGAGAATTTCCTTCACCACCACCTTTCCCTAATATATTCTGTATGACACAGGTTCTGTATTACACAGGTTCTGGTTGGGTAAGTGCTATATTTTATTGGCAAAACAAAACCTTTCCAGCTCCAAAGCTTGGCTGCTTCACCCAAAGAGTGTCAAATAACTAACCACACTATATGATCAGATTTGGGGGTTAACAGCAAGACTCCTCTGGCACAACCCAATTTCTTGCATTCTGAAGAACCTCTACCTTCTGTCCATCCCTTCAATGCCCAAGCTTGTCCTCTTCTCTTCTCTCTCAAGGCAGTCTTCCCTGGGATTCCTGACTTAATCTTCTTAGTTATCAATTACATGCTGATGTTTCTTAAACCAATAGCTCCAGGCCTAACTACCTGCACCTGCTGACTGGGGAAATAAAGAATGACTGAAGCACTGAACCTGTTCTCAAACTTTATTTGAGAAATGCAGAAATAACTGTTATTCATAAAATGCCTACCACTGTAAATAACACACACTGTAAATAACATGCACTATAAATAACATGCTTTACACACCATAACTCTAACCCTCACAACAACTTTGAATGTTAAGTCATATGACTACCTTTGCATGTGAGGAAACTAAAGCACTAAAAAGCAAAAATGCTAAGATTCAAACACAGGTCTGATTTCAAAATTGTTATCTCCACTGTACCATGCACATTCACAATCTAGTTGAGGAGACCATGTACTCAACAAATTTAAAACCATATGGGCTTGTGTAATGGCAAAGTCCCCGGGGCTTTCCCATTTAGAACTAGACCCTAGTTCCAATCCTACATGTGACCTTAGACAAGTCTCCTAGTTACTTTAGGTCTTGAGTTTTCTCATCAGTAAAATAAGGAGGTCAGAGGAGAAGATCCTGAGTGTTCCCTACTAGTATAATAGGAAGTTTTCCTTATTAGCCTGATGACTATGGCCAAGTTTCCTCACATCTTTAAGATGGGAATATCCTGAAGAATAAATGATGTAGAGCATGTTGTAATACCACTATGTGTCTGGTATATGGCAGCATCAATAAATGTTAGTGGAATCCAAAGTGATTATCCTGCAATAAATAGGACAGTAAAGCACATGAAAAGTTTAGGCACTGAAGATATGACTGAAAAATGGACATTCTGGTATGAAACTGGCACCCAGAACAGAAAGCCCAAAGTAAATTAATTTTAAATGTCTAGTTCCTGGATTGACAGCATAGAATTTAAAATACACATATATAGGCCGGGCAGGGCAGCTCACGCCTGTAATCCCAGCACTTTGGGAGGCTGAGATGGGCGGATCACCTGAGGTCAGGAGTTCAAGACCAGCCTGGCCAACATGCTAAAACCCAGTATCTACTAAAAATACACAAATTAGCCAGGTGTGGTAGCGGGCGCCTGTTAACAGTGAGCCGAGAGCGTGCCACTGCACTCCAGCTTGGGCGAAAGCGCAAAATTAAAAAAAATATACACACACACACACATATGTGCATATGTTTCTTATCAAAATAATAGTTTTATCAAAAAAGCACCATTAAAACAGTCATGCACTGCATAATGACATTTTGATCAATGACCAACTGCTCATACCATGGTGGTCTCATAACAGTATAATGGAAAACATACAGAAATCTGATATATGGCACTGGATACTGGCAATGCAGATCAAGTAGATGAAATGACTGATACTAAGTAATGGTGCTGGAACATTTGGTTTTCCATATGAAAAAATACATAAATATGCACATACCATCTAGGTTTGTGTAAATACACTCTTCGCACAAGGACTAAGTCATCTTACAAAACATATCCCATAACATATCCCCGACGCTGACTGTATATACTTCTTGTAAAGCACCAAGTACTTATGTTCATTATTTACTTACTTCTGTTTATGACAATCTCTTTACTCGACCTTTTCTGAATTTGACACAGAACATTACAAAAGATACACAGAAGCAGAGACAGTATTTTAGTATGATCTCAGAACTAATTTACAAATTCAATTAATATTTGTATCAAACGCAGATTTTTAAGGCATTTGGGAAGTTCAAACTCAATATGGTAAGTTTTTAAACTGGACAAAAACTATTCAACACAATAAGTCCCATTAACTAAAGTCTACTCACGCCTTTTCATCTCTGTAGGAGAGAAAGCCTGGTGTATTGGGAAATGGTTGAGATTTTCCTTACCCTGATTTCTACATTCCTTGATTTCAAGTTAAAGCGTATCTGAAGTCCCAAATGTTCCACAATAGGAGTAAATATCTTCATCCAGTTTTCTTTCAATGGTGTGTATCTGTTAGCTGGGACTGGAATTTTCCTTGTTTCTTCTTTTCCACTCTGTAATAAAAGAACACACAATTCAAAAGGCTATGGAGGGATGGTGATGGAGTTGTAAAATAACATCTGATCCATAAAGGGCTTCCTTTAACTGAACTAGTTACACTTCAAAGAATCACTTCTCTCTGAGCATCGCGGCAGAACAGCCGCACCGCAGCTTCAACATTCCCCAGAGGCCACCGGCTTGATCCGCGTCTGGCCCCTGCCTGGTTGCTGTCCTAGGGTCCTAGCCACATACCAGGAGCCCGTCCCCACAGAGGGGTGGGAAGACGGGCCTCTTCGCCGGCCTGGCCTCCTCTGTGTCCATCCGGCCCGCATCCCCGCCCTCTCCCGCTGCGGAGAGCTGTTCAGCCTGTCGTTTCTTCGCCCGCCGGCCACCCTTACGGGTGACCTGGGTAAAGCCCTCCTCTGCCCCGGCGCTCTGCGCTTCCATTTCGGATTCCATCCCCCGGAATCTTAAGGCGCTTCCGGCTGAAACACGTGCGCTGCTGCACCGCGCAGGACCCAGCCTCCGTCAACTAACCCCGCAGCTCCGCCCCTTTCCTAAAACGTCACAGGCCGGGGACCTGCAGGATTTGGGGCCGGGGGAAAACGGGATTTCGGCTGTCCTAAGGTATGCCTGATGCTCATGGTCTCACTCCAGCCGTGCAACTCCGAGCTCAAGCATTTTATAATCTCTAATATGTATGTGTGCGAAAGGCAGTGGGTAAAGGCAATAAAGAAATTTGTGCTGTTGTGAAGGAACATTCTGTGCGATCGCCAGAGCGCATCTGGCATTATCTAGAGATAACTACAGCCAACTTCCTAGGGCATCTGGGGCAGAATACGGAAAGCGGGAGGGACAAATTGCCAATGTTTGGAGTCTGGTTTCCAGGTTAGTGTTTTGGGGGGCTTTGGGTGTGGCGGTTGTCAGAACTGAAATCGGCTGCACCATGTCGGCCTTCGAGAAGCCTCAGATCATCGCCCATATCCAGAAGGGCTTCAACTACACGGTGTTTGACTGTAAATGGGTGCCCTGCAGCGCCAAATTTGTGACGATGGGCAACTTCGCACGGGGCACCGGCGTCATTCAGCTGTACGAGATCCAGCACGGGGACCTGAAGCTGCTTCGAGAGGTGGGTGCCGGGTCGACGATCCGGACTGCCGTTGGGGGCGAGTGCGGATCCTGGGGTCTGCATTCCTCTTTGCCAGAGCCTTCGTCCAGCGTCCCCCAAAGCATGGCTTGAGCCGCGCGAGACCAGAGAAGCTGACCGCCGACTGAGGAATGTTTCCCATTTAAAACCTCTTTCTCATCCGCGGGGTAGTTCCTCCGCGCCCAACCCTCCTGCCACCCCAAGTGCAGTCCAGCCAAAGCGGGCACCAGGATGCCTGCGGTGTGGTTGGAAGAGGCAACCTAACACATTCGGCAGGTATCAATTGAGTGCCTGGTATTCCTAGGCATGTGAATGGCAATGTCCCCGATCTCATGGAGTTTGTTTTCTAGTGGGAGAGATACTCAGTTCAATAATCAAAGCAACGATACATAAGTACAAACCGAGATGAGTTGTCTCACACAAAGGAACACGGTTACAGTTCAGTGAGAGTGAAAACAGGTTTGGGATGAGTGAAAACAGATTTTGGTATGTGCGGGAGCTAACTAGGCCAAACTAGGAGTAAAGGACACGGTTTCCAGGGCTTCTGCACATGCAGAAGCTCAGTGATGGGAAGAAGTTTATCCTCTTAAGAAACTAGAGGGATAAGCAGGAACCAGACATTGCAAGATCTGTAGGACATTCAAAGGAATTTATGCCTTTTTTTCTAAGAAAAACGGGACACGATTGAAAGGATTTAAGCAGTGTGTGGAAAGATTAGGTTTACAACTTTTTGTTTTTGTTTTTTTTTTGAAGATTACTAGTGAAAGAATTAGAGAATAATGATAGTAACTAGCATTTTGTAGCTGTTTATAGTTTTTAAAAAGTCTTGATTTCGGTTACCTGAAAAAAAAAGATCAGTCGTAGTCAGATCAGAGTTGTAATAGACTACAAGTGCAGGGTAGGTTAAGAACTCTGGGGATCAAAATCTATGGAGAAAATCGTCTTGAAGGAGGTAGGGATTAAACTGGTAGATAAAGGATGGATACAATTTGGACTGTTACGCCTAGAATAAAAAGTATGTAAGACCCCATTCCGCTTTAAATTTCCCTGAATGACAAACATGAAACATGGCTTATTCTTTTCTACCTTTCCTTATATTGTTCATCACTTAGCTTCCAGTAACCAGTGGCTTTTTTTTTTTTTTTTTTTTTTTTTGGAGACAGGGTCTCAATCTGTCACCCAGCCCGGAGTGCTGTGGTGCAAACACAGCTCACTGTCACTGCAACCTTCGCCTTCTTAGCTCAAGGAATCCTCCCACCCCAGCCTCCCAAGTAGCTAGGACTACAGGTGTGTGCCACCACACCTAATTATTTTGTACTTTTTTTTTTTTTTTTGGTAGAGATTGGCTTTTGCCATGTTGCCCAGGCTGGTCTCCGACTCCTGGGCTCAAGCAGTCTGCCTGCCTCGGCCTCCCATAATACTGGGATTACAGGCGTGAGCCACCAAGCCTGGCTACCTGTTGCTCTTCTAATGTCCAGTTCAGATTATCTAATGTATGATGCCCTGCCTGATTTCTACACAAAGGAAAATTTCTTTACATTGCATTTTGGGTTGTTTTTGGTTTTTTTTGTTGTTGTTTAGAGATGGCGTAGCTCTGTCCCAGTCTGGAGTGTAGTGGTACTGTCATAGCTCATTGCAGCCTGGAACTCCTGGGCTCAAACCATCCTCCCGCCTCTGCCTCCCAAAGTGCTGGATCAGGTGTGAACCACCATTTAAAAAAAAAGGCATTTAAAGGATTTATTCCTTTTTCTTTTCTCTTTCTTTTTCTTCTTCTTTTTTTTTTTTTTTTAAGACGGAGTCTTGCTCTGTCACCCAAGCTTGAGTGCAGTGGCGTGATCTTGGCTCACTGCAACCTCTGCCTCCCAGGTTCAAGTGATTCTCCTGCCTCAGCCTCCCTAGTAGCTGGGATTACAGGCGCCTGCCACCATGCCCAGCTAATTGTTTTGTATTTTTAGTGGAGATGGGGTTTCACCATGTTGGTCAGGCTGGTCTCGAACTCTGACCTCAGGTGATCCACTCAACTCGGCCTCCCAAAGTGCTGGGATTACAGAGATGAGCCATCGCGCCTGGCCATTTATTCCTTTTTCAAAGAAAAATGGGACATGATTGTTTTTCTTTTTTCTTTTTTCTTTTTTTTGAGAGAGGGTCTCACTCTTGCCTAGGTTGGAGTGCAGTGGCAGGATCAGGGCTCAGACTTGTGACTTTTTAAAATAAGAACAGGCCTGGTGCAGTGGCTAACGCCTGCAGTCTCAACACTTTGAGAGGCAGAGGGGTGGATTGCTTGAGCCCAGGAATTCAAGACCAACCTGGGCAACATGGCGAAACCCTGTCTCTACTTTTTGTATAAAAAAGAATACAAAAATTAGCTGGGCATAGTGATGCGAGCTTGTAGTCCCAGCTACTTGGGAGGCTGTGGTGGGAGGATCTCTTGAGCCCAGGAGGTCAAGGCTACCATGTTCGCACCACTGCACTCCGCCCTGGGTGACAGAGAGAGACTCTGTCTCAAAAAATAATAAAATGAAAATATATGATTTGTACGTATTTCAAAACTACACTTACTCCATCAAGTGGAATAGAGTACTTTGTCTTTCGTAGCGACTCTGGGGAGTTTCAGCAAATTTTAAAAAGATAATTTTCTTTTGCAGGAAAAGTAATATGTATTCATGATAGAACTTTTAGAAAATAGGAAAATGAAGAAAATATCACCCATAATCTCAATGCCAGGAATAACCACTAAGTGTATTTTCACCTGGATCCTTTAGATCTTTTTTTCTACCATGAATTAGATCTGAGAACACACTATTTCAAGGTACTGTGTTTAACAAGGACCAAAGGTATTTAAAAGTTGAGTCCTTTCTTCTAAAGAGCCTACTGTCTGCCCAAAAAGAGGATACAACTAATACAGGAATACCTTTTAGAACTTACAGTGGGCCGGGTGCAGTGCTCACGCCTGTAATCCCAGCACTAAGGGAGGCTGAGGCGGGTGGATCACAAGGTCAGGAGAGCGAGACCATCCTGGCCAACATGGTGAAACCCCATCTCTACTAAAAATACAAAAATTAGCTAGGCGTGGTGGTGAGTGCCTGTAATCCCAGCTACTCAGAAGGCTGAGGCATGAGAATCACTTGAACCCGGGAGGCGGAAGTTGCAGTGAGCCGAGATCCGCCGTTGCACTCCAGCCTGGCAACAGAGGAAGACTCTGTCTAAAAACCAAACCAAAACAAAAAAGAACTTACATTGTATTTGGCTGCTCTGGTGCAATGGAAAAAAGATTAAAAATATAGGTTAAATACTGTTCCAGTAACTCCTACTCCTTACTGTGCATCAGGATCATTTGAGTGCATTTTGTGGCTTGTGTGTATGTGTGTGTGTTTTAAAACATTTGTGCCTTGGTCCCACCCCTAGAAATTCTGACGCAGTGGTACGTCTTTATTGCATCTAAGTAAGGTTTAGAAATCAGAATTTTTTTAAACTTCTGCGAGGTGATTCTAATGAGTCCCAGGGCTGAGAACCATTGAACTAGATGGGTCACTGATTATAATATTAGGAAACAGACTTGATTTGTCATTGTAGAGCTACCCCTAAGTCATGTGCTCCAAAGCTCATGCATCTTTCTTTTTTTTTTTAAATTTATCACTGACTTGGAGCTTGCAAAGCGCATGCATCTAAGAAAAAAAGATGTAAAGGAAGCATATCAGTCTTTGTCGAAGTCTTCTTTATCTTAGTTCTAAAAGGATAGATAAGGAATGGAGGGCAGGGCCTCC